GAACAAGGTCAAGCTCAGGTTTGTGTGATTCATGTGGTACCATTGAGATTTTGTTTCTTTTTCTTTTTAAGGTTTATTTTTATCCAAGAGGCCAATTTACAGCCGGAAAAGGAAGACGTGGAGGGCTCCCACCTACTTGTTCACTCCCCAAATGGCCACAGGGCTGGAGCGGAGCCAAACTGAAGCCAGGCGCTTTTTCCATGTCTCCCAGGTGGGTGCGGGATCCCAGGGAGTGAAGCCATCTTTCATGGCTTTTCCAGGTCACAGGAGCGGGGCTGGTTGGGAAATGTAGCAGCCAGACATGAACCGGCACCCATATGCGATTCCAGCATCACACACTTATCCTATAAGCCACCATACTGGCCCCTCCGTACAGCTTTCCTGCACAAGATTCTATAGATAATGAGCCTCTGGGTAGGGTGCGTGTTTACCCTTCCGATGTCTATTTACCTCATATCAAATACACTCCTCCTGCTTCACCATTTTTGTTCCCTCAAGCTGTCATCCCCTCCCCTACCCTTGTAAGAGCTGTTCCTAGGTTTACCGCCCTGGAACCCTAGTGATAGCCTCTTCTGTTGTTGAAGGCATCTTCCCAAAGGCTAGGGATGTGCCAAGCTGAAGCCAGGAGCCAGGAACTCCATCTGGGTCTTTTGTGGGGTACGTGGATTTGCTTTCCCAGACACAGCAGCTGGGAGCTCTATACTAAATGGAGCAGCTGGTGCTCGAACTGTTGCTGCAGAATGGGATGCTGGTGTCACAGGCATTGGCTTAACCTGCGGCACCACGGCACTGGCCTGCAGTTTGGGTACAGGTGTATCACAGGAACAGGCGTATGTGTCCACCACCATGGACTAGTTCCATCCGTACAAGGATCCCTCCGTGTTGCCCTTTCATCACCACATCCTCCCTGCCCCAGTACCTGCTAATCTAACCTGTATTTCAGAACTATCCTGTAAGTAGAGTCATATAAGAGTTCCAATCGGTGGGACTTTCTGCAGACGCCTCCACGTTGTTGCACACACCAATAGTCTGTTCTCTTTCTTTTCTTTTAAGATTTTTTTGTTTGTTTATTTACATTGGAAAGACAGATTTACAAGAGACAGAGAGGAAATCTATCTTCTGGTTCACTTCCCAGATGGCTACAGTGACCAGAGCCGTGTTTATCTGAAGCTAGGAGCCTCCTCGGGGTCTCCCACATGGGCTCAGGGAGCCAAGGCTTTGGCCATCCTCTGCTGTTTTCCCAGGCCACAAGCAGGGAGCTGGATGGGAAGAGGAGCAGCCAGGGGATGAACCAGTTCCGGTATGGGATGCCCGTGCTTGGAGGCGGAGGACTAGCCAGTTGATCTGATACCAGCCCCAGTTTGTTTTCTTTCATCGCTCAGGGGTACATAGTGTGGCTGGGTAACCATTCTCCTGTTGGAGGACTTGAGCTCCTAGTTTGCGGTCGTTCAGATAAAGCTTTCACGAGCACACAGGCATTTATGGGAACAGAAGTCTTGGTTTCTGTGGCACACTTAGGAGAACAGTTTCTGGGTCATCTCTTTGTTGCATGTTTAGTTTTCTAAGAAACCGCCAAACTTTTCCAGAGGGAACTATGTTATTATCTTTCAAAGCCTGGTGAGCTTGTTTGTATGAGTAAGGGAAAACTTAGATCACAGGGGTCAGGGCCTAAAGAGCAGGGTGGTGAGGGGCTCCCTGGCTCCGGTGGAGGAATTGGCTGGGGTTTGCTGGCGCCAGCTCACATCTCAGACCCCAGAAGCAATGAGATCCAGGAGGGGGAGATGCAGATGGGGTTGTGGAAGGAATACGAGGGTTCGCCTTTGTTTCTGTTTCCTCAGGACCATCAAAGGCCAGACCATCAGCTAGGATGGAAGGGGTACAGGCTGTCCAGAGAGACCAATGTTAAAGGTCTTGTTAAGAGAATGGGAATGTAGGGTCTGGCATGGTGGTCTAGCAGCTAAAGTTCTTGCCTTGAACATGCCAGCATCCCATACGGGCACTGGTTCTAATTCTGGCAGCTCCACTTCTCATCTAGCTCCCTGCTTGTGGCCTGGGAAAGCAGTCTAGGACGGCCCAAAGCCTTGGGACCTTGCACCCGCGTGGGAGACCTGAAGGAAGTTCCTGGCTGCTGGCTTCGGATTGGCTCAGTTCTGGCTGTTGTGCTCACTTGGGAAGTGAACCATCGGACAGAAGATCTTTTTTGGCCGCAATAGCCAGAACTTAGCTGACCCGAAGCCAGGAGCCAGGAATTTATTCCAAGTCTCCCACATGGATGTGGGGTTCCAAGGCTTTGGGCCATCCTTTGCTGCTTCCAAGGCCATAATCTGGGAGCTGGAAGGGAAGTGGAACAGCTGGGACGCAAACCAGCACCCTTTGAGATGCCAGTGCTTGAAGGTGGAGTGCAGGATCAGCCAATTGAACTATTGAACTTGGCAGGGTGTTTTAAAATTTGTATTACTTAATTAGGAAGAGAAATCAAGATCTTCCTTCTAATCACTGAATTACTCCCCAGATGCTCTCAGTGGGTGGGACTGGAGTTGGCTGAAGACAGGAGTATTAGCAAAGGAGTGAGTGACAAGGACTCAGGCCTGGAGCCATTGTGTGCTGTCGGTCAGGGTGTGCACCTGCTGGAAGCTGAACTAGAGGCCGTAAGGAGACTTGATGCCAAGCTCTCAGGTTCAACCTTCATCTTGCAGTGCTGGCATCCCTTATGGGCACCGGCTTGTGTCCTGGCTGCTCTACTTCTGATCCGTCTTCTTGCTTGTGGACTGGGAAAGCAGCAGAGGATGGCTCAAGTGCTTGGGCTTCTGCACATGCGTGGGAGACTCAGAAGAAGTTCCTGGCTTTGAGCCAGCTCAGCTTGAGCTGTTGGAGCCATTTGGGGAGTGAACCAGCAGATGGAAGCTCTCTCTCTGTCACTCTGTGCTTGAAAAAACAAAATCCAAAGAGTACATCTCTGAGGTTCAGTGTTCTTCATCTGAAATATAGGTTGGGGCTGCGTGAAAACTGTTGCTTTAGTACAATGCCCAACAAGTGGTTGCTGTGACTTAGAAAGTTCTCAGCATTGCTAATTGATGGAAAGAGAGCTATCGCAGCTGTCTTGGAGGATTGCCCTTGTTTTCTGGGGCTCCAAGATGGGTTCGGTCAGGGCTGGCTTTGTCCTGTTGTGTTGTAGAATGCTCCTGGCTTTTTTTTTTTTTTTTAAGAAGATTTACTTTTATTGCAAAGTTAGACATACAGAGAGAAGAAGAGACAGAAAGGAAGATCATCCATCCGATGATTCACTCCCCAAGTGACTGCAACAGTCAGAGTTGTGCCGATCTGAAGTCAGGAGCCTGGAGCTTCTTCCAGGTCTCCCATCCCAGGCCACAAGCAGGGAGCTGGATGGGAAGCGGAGCCGCCGGGATTAGAACCGGCGTCCATATAGGATCCCGGCGAGTTCAAGGTGAGGACTTTAGCCGCTAGGCCACTGTGCCGGGCCCTACTCCTGGCTTTGAACTTGAAAGAGGAGCCAGGAATAGTTAAGGGTAGAAGAGAAGCTGGAGAATCTTTTAAAAGTTTTTTTTTTTTTTTTAAATTGATTTGAAAGGCAGAGAAAGATACACATAAACATAGGCATGCATCCTTCTCACCTCCACATCGCCCTGGGAGAAATCTTGCCATTAATTCCCCAGCAACAGTTGGGGTTAAGGCTGGAAATCAGGAGGCTGGAACTCAGTGTGGGTCTCCCCGCTGGGGAAGGAGGAGTGGGCAGTCAAGTTCGTGAGCCATCACTGCTGCCTCCCAGGATGTGTTAGCAGGGAGATGGATTAGAAGCTGAGCCGCAGGACACAGCAAACCCAACGCTGAGCTGGGATGTGGGCCGCTGGTGCTGTGTCAATGTCGATGGTCCCTCCCAAGCTAGGGGGAAATTATTATGATGATTATTATTCTGCAAAAGCTTTTATTTGGCAGCTCTGACCCTCCCTGAAGCAGTGTCCTGAGAAGGTCCGGAATGAGAGGCCGCAGTGACTGGCCCTCTGGAGCTGCCCTGCTTCCCTGGGGCCTTCGCTGGGGCCTCCGACAGAACTGCCACTCACTTCCTATTGTGACAGTTTCTCTGTGTGTGGCTCCCTCTGACGGGACTGAATGCTCACACGTGCCCCAAGCACATAGTGGGTCTTTGCTCAGTTAACTCTTGTGAAGTAAACGAGTGGATGTGGCTTGAGGGGGCGGTGGATTGCCGATCCGGGATAATGTGCTCTCTCCCCACGGCAGCCTGGAGTGACTACACAGGGAATGGAGGTTGTAGGATCCAAGTGCGGGACCTGAGAGGTCGGGGCGCTCGGCACCGTGAATTTTTAGCACTCATCTGTACTAGGGGCCAGCAGAGGTAGCAAATGGAAAGGATTGGGAAATCGGACCCTTGCGTGAGGGGTGGCAGCACCCTCCACCGGGACTGTGAAGAAGTCGATGAGGTGACACCCACACAGATAGCCACCTGAGCCGCGAGCCTTGGGGTGACCACTGGCCTGGGATATGTCTGCGAGACGCAGAGACCTGGCCGAGGTAACCGAGATCTGTGGGCCTGGATTCGGGATAGGGCTGAGAGGCGTGGGGTCCTCTCAGATTTCCGATTTAGTCTTGTTCCATCAGACACTCCTCCAAGAAGCCACAAACGGCGTAGCCCTGCTCGGGGACGAGCACTAGGCTATAGTCAATCCTCAGAAAACTCTCCATGAAACATAACGCCTGTTTTGAGCCTCGCTATGGCCAGCACCGACGTGAGCACGGCCTCTAGCACGGCCGCCCCACAAAGGCTGCCCTTCATCCCCACACCCCCGCCCCCACCCGACCCCGCCGGCCTCCTCCCGGTGCGCCTGCGCGGACGCGGGGCGGGGCTTGGCCCTTTGTTGTGGGCCCCAGTTTCCCAGGACACCGCGCGGCTCTTGGGTGGGGCTATGCAGATGAGGCCCTCGGGGGCGGGGCGGTTGCGGCGGCTGCGGCGGCCGGGGAGGGTCAGTTGGAGGCAGGCACTCGCTGAGGCAGGAGGAGGGCGCTCGGCCCGCGGCCTGACAGGGACTTAGCCTGCAGAGATCGGCCCCGCGCGCGCGACCCACACCCACCCACTCATCCACCTACCCACTCCCTGCGCCGCCTCCTCCCACCCTGAGCAGAGCCGCCGAGGATGATAAACACCCAGGACAGGTAACGGCCCGGCCCTGGCTCCCCGCCCCCACCCTCCACCCCCTGTGGCTACAGCGGGCCTCCCCCGACGTCCAGCCGGCCCTGGCCGCCATCCTGGGGGGCCCGTCCCGCCCGCGGCACGGGTCCCCTTTCCCCACTTGAGCCAGCTCAGTCCGAACGTCAACCCCGCCACCGGGCCTCCTTCCGTCCTTTACCCCCCTCCCTCCAGCAGGGCCCATTCCCCCCCTTCTTGGCCTTCCCTGTCCCCTAAAGCCCCCTCCCACCCAAGACCGAACTCGACCTTCCATTCGGTCCCCCCCCCCCCCAGCTTCAACCCCGCCGAACGGAGGCTCGCTCATTTCCCCAAATTGGGCTTCCTCCCGCGTCCAGATCCCCCAAATTCTTATTTTTCCCAGATCTTTCTTCATCTCCCTGGCCGTGCATCCCCTCCTGAGCAGCGCTCCCCAGGCTGGCTGCCCCCTCCCCCCGCAGCCTGCATCCCCCAGCTCTCCCCTCCCCCACTCTCCTGGGCCCTAATGCTCTTTCCAGCCAGGCCAGGCCCTCGCCTCGTCCTTCCCCCGCCGGCACCCCTCTCCCATTTTCCCTGGCTCCCGACGTCATTCCGTCATTTCTTTATTTCTTTCTCAAACTTTGGACTTGATTCTTGTCCTCCTCCACATGTCCCCCCACCTCCAAAACTTCCTCAGATCTGGAACTCATCTTTCCCCTCCCCTTCTCATCTTGACTGACACCCCCTCCCCACCTTGGGGTCTTCAGGTGAAGTCCGCATCCCCCTCCCCAGCGAAGGCCCGGGGGCTGTCCTGCCTTTGCACATCAGGCCCTCTGGTTTGGGCCTTTGCTGGTTTCCTCTCCCGAACCCTGGCAGCTCTCCTGGGGAGAGCGAGGCACTGGGGAGAGCGAGGCAGCCCCGCTCTCCCGGCCTGCTCCAGGCAGGCTTCATGGCCCCGTGTGTGGTCCTTCCTGCCCAACTGTATCACACACACCCCTCAGGGCGCCCCCAGACACTCTTGGTGAATTGTCCCATCCTCTCCTGGTCTCCACTCTCTCACGTCTCAGACATCACAGTAGTTCTCATTTGCTTGGCTTCATTCCTTCGTCCCCCCCAGACTGGCATCTGCCCCCTCCCAGTTCTGAGCTGAAGATCTTGAGGTCCCCCCTCCCAGAGAATGCTGTCCCTCCACGCGGCCCTTGCACTTCACTTGGGTCCTCTGATTTGCCTGCAGATCCGTTTGCTGTAAATCTTAGATTGTGTTGTGCTTTATCCAAAAAACAGCCTCGAGTTTCTCTAAGCCACTCGGCCTTTCTTCCAGCTTCTTGGCCAGTGCTCCTTTCTCACTGTACTGGGCTTTAACTTTGTGTTTCCCGCTGGTTTAATTGCACACCCTTCCACATCGCTGCTGGCTTCTCAGCTTTTTTTCCAACTCCTCCCCCCCACCTGTGTTTCCTCGCTCTGGCTGCACACCCATTTGAACCTGGGCAGCCCCTTTGCAGATAGAGCGAGCCAGGTGGAAACGTGAGCATTTCTTCTCGAAGCTCCCGGGGTAACTTGGCTCTGCAGCCAGGACTGACACCCTGGGCTCTCTGGTCCACAGGCCCCAGTCTGTCCCCTCCTTTTCCTCTGGTGAAGACAGTTCTGTGCTGACAAGGGCCTCATCTCCAGCATGGGTATCTTAACCCTTTGCTCTTAGGTACCACGTGCAAGTCATCCAACTTGCTGGACTCTGCCTGTAGTTCACTCTGTTCTTGGCCATTAGCCATTTTTTTTTTTCTTTCAATTCTCAGATTCCTGTGTTGTCCCTCTGCTTCCATTTCTTGCCAACACACAGAAAGCAAGTTTACCCATTTTCAGGGCTAGTGTCCATTCTGGTCCATCGACTTTTTCCTTCGGTTTCATTCTGCCCTTAAGTTTCCCTTTTCTGTAGTTCTTCATTTCCACCCACCCTTGCCTGCCCACTTTTATACACTGTCTTTGCTGATTGGGTCCCTCTGGCGCTGAGGAGGTGGAGGTGGGTGTGTGCTTGGATGGGCAGGGATGCTGAAGGTGCCCCTCATGGGGCAGGAGACTGGGAGTGTTGAGGATATAGGGCAGGGGTGGAGGAAAGCTGAGAAGGCCAGAGCAAAATCCACTCAAGGTGGGAGGGTATTCTGTGGGGTGACTGTCTGCAATGGGGGCTTGGAGAACGGGGTTGCGGTCCTTCCCAGAGCCCTCTGGGCCAAGCAGGTCCAGAGTAGGTGCGTGATGGACTCTTTGCAGGCCCAGTGTTGGAAACAACATTGTAAAGGTCTACACTGATGGTGAGGTTGAGCTCTAGTTCTGGCTGCATGCGGGTTGGGTTAGTATGCAGATTTCCTGCCAGCTTCCTAAGGTGGCAAAACAGGCTTGCTGGTCTCCAGGGCCCTCTTGCTTAGTGCCCTGGTAATTTGAGGGGCTTGGCTGTGTCAAAGTCAGGTGGCCGGAGGAGCCAGCCGGGCTGCCAGGGCCCCAGGCAGGAGCCGGCAGGAGGCCCTGGATTAGGCTCCTCACTTTAGCCAGGGGGTGGGGTGGTGTGTGCAGGGTGTCTGTTTCCACAGCGTGTTTCCCAGCCTTCCAGGGGCAGCCTGCTCCTAACTTTCTGAAAGGAATCCCAGTGGAGCCCTGACTAGGGATTCTGATAAGAGCCGGATGTTCTTCTCAGTGTTCTTGGTGTTTAGTATCCGCCGCCAAGCGGGGAGCTGTGCTCCCATTGGGTGGGGGATGGGACTTGCAGCTTCCCCGGCTGCAGTGAGAAACTTGGGAGGCGGAGGCTGGGTTTCCTGGAAGCCATACTCAGCCCAAAGTTTGAAAACAGTGTGTTTTGCAAACAAGGCTCTTCCCTTTTAGTTATTGGGGCTCTAATCAACTGAACTGAACTGTCAAACTCCCTGCTGGTGTGGCCAGGGAGAGGAAGACACCACTACAAACACACTAGCTAGGTCTTTCTTTTTTTTCTTAATGAGATTTTCATCCATGGAATTCAAATTCCATAGCCTTTTTCTACCTGGATTTGTGGGGGTGGGGAGGACAGCCTTGGGTTCACCTTGTGACAGTACGGGATTTAGAGAAGAGCTAGCTCTGGTCCATGGCCACAGTGTAATTGAACAGGATGCTGATGGACTTTGAGGAGAAGCGTTGGGCCCTACAGGTGGGTGTGTTTTGTGACTTGGGGATGTGGTTAGGGTCCAGGTGCACAGCGGAGCCCTCCACCAAATGGTTTCCTGGGAGGTGGCATTTCTGTCTGTCCTGGAGGTTTTGGTAATGATTGGCACTATGGCTTGTGGAGCACGAGGTGGGGAGAGCTGGTTTTCTTGAGATGGAGACAGAGAGAGATTCCTACTATAGTCAGGAATTACCCCAAAATGGAGACATGCCTCAGCAAGCAGTGTGGACTAATAGAAATTTCTAATCCTGCCAAAAAAAATTCAAATTTAACCTCAGAACTGCTGAGAAATGCAAGAAAAGGGTTGAGGAGTGAGGTAGAGAGGAATGTTACAAATGTACATTTCTAAAAAATTTAAATGAGTAATGTACCACTTTGTGACTATGGAGTGTCCATTGCAGCCGGCGCCCCGATTTGCAGGGCTGTGCAGCAGATCTGACTGCCGCAGAGCAGAAAGGGCCTAGGTGAGCGGCATTCCTTCCTGGAGGTGAGCGAAACAGGTTGTTTCCTGTTGGGCAGCAGCCGGAACACAAACTGCTCTGTGGAAGATGAGCCTTCAGAACATGTCTGAGGTCTTTAACGGGCATAAACAGTGATGTAATTCTATCTTGGGAAAAGAGGTGGAACTGTATGGTGAGCTTACTTTATAAGCCAGATTGAGTTATTTCAAAAGTAAGATGTCAAGCCACCACTGGGCGCGTTCAGTGGCTGTGGCTTTGACAGCACACGCGCCGTGGCAGCCGTGGGCACACTCTGTGCCTCAGGGACACAGGTCTTTTAGCTACCATTGAAAGTGTGTATCTTGGGAGAATCAACCAAAAATCAGTTTCGCTTTCAGTCTGTGATTCAGAATGGTGATGTCATTTTTTCCTATAATGGTGCTTAGCAATTAGACTCCCTTTGAAACACAAAATAGCGCCAGTGACAAAAATGACTTAGGCCTGGCATGTGCCAGGGCGCCTTTCTCAGATGGAAGGGGACTTGGCACTGAAAATTAGCCTCTACAGCCACACTAGACTGGAGGTGGCCACCACCTCCCACCTCTCTTCCTTTTTCTTTTCACTTTGTGTGATGGTGGCCCCCAGGTGGTCCCCCTGTGCGCAGGCATTAGTCATGACTGACGCCGTTCTCCGTGCGAGGGCAGGGAGAGGGACACCCAGGTGTTGTGTGGAGTCGGGCCCGAGGCATGGATAGGGCAGAAGAGGTTGAAACAGGCAGATGAATACAGAATACTGGGAATGTGGTTTTCGTATCTTTGTATTTGATACCAAAAAGACAGGTGATACCAAGGCCGTCTGACCCTTCCTGGCAGGTGTTGGAAACCAGAGAGAAAGGGTGTGGGCTTGAATGAGCCGAGGAGGCGCTGATTTAAGGGAAACATGATCAAAAGTCTATCAAAGCGAATTGGAAGTCAGCTATTTTGTTAGATGTAGTTAAATGGAAGTTGGGCACGGACGTGCTTTTATATTAAATCCCTACTCTAGTAGGCTGCGCCCTGCTTTAAGCAAAAGAACAAAAAACTTAAAAACTAACAAAGTCAGCTGAAAGTGATCCTACAATAGAACTTCTTTTTATTAAGAAATTTATGGTTAATTCTTTTAAAGTTTTATTTATTTGAAAGGCAAAGCAATAGTGAGATCTTCCATCTTCTGGTTCACGCCCCAGGTGTGCGGCAGGGTCTGTCACTTGAGCTGTGAGCTGCTGCCCCGCTTGTGTGCACTGGAAGGCAGCTGGATTAAGTGGAACAGGCAGAGTTTAAACTGGGTACTCCCATAATGGGCATTTTAGCTATTGTACCACAATACCTGTCTTTTCCATTCTCTTATTTATTTTATTTTTTAAAGACTTATTTTTTTTGGAAAGGCAGATATACAAAGTGGAGAAGAGACAGAAACATCTTCTATTTGCTGGTTCATTTCCCAAGTGGCCTCACTGAGGCTGAGCCAATCCGAAGCCAGGAGCCTCTCCTCCGGTCTCCCATGTGGGTGCAGGGTCCCAAGGCCTTGGGCTGTCCTCGGCTGCTTCAACTGCTTTCCCAGGCCACAAGCAGGGAGCTGATTGGGAAGTAGAGCAGCCATGGTACAAACCGGTTCCCATATGTGATCCCGTCACATGTAAGGCAAGGATTTAGCCACTGGGCTACCGCACCAGGCCCCTTCCCATAAATAGGAGACATTTGAAGATAGGATTTGAATGACAAACATTTGCTACAGGGCTGGCATTGTGGTGCAGTGGATTAAACTGGTTACTGTTTATCTGATGTTCCGTCATATGAGAGTGCTGTTTTGAATCCTGTCTGTTGCCGTCCAGTTCCTTGCTAATGCTCCTTGGAAAAGCAACAGAAGATGGCCCAGGTGCTTGGGCCCCGTCGCACAACATGGGAGACCTGAATGAAATTCTAAGTTCCAGGCTTTGGGCCCTGTCCAGCCCTGGCTCATAGGGCCATTTGTGGAGGAATGAACCAGCAGATGGAAATTCTTTCTTGATCTGTTTGCCTTTCAGATACATTTAAACTCTTTTTTTTCGCACCAGAATTTCCCAGGAATAGACCTGTCAATGCACTCCCTGTCCGTAGCCACTGTGTGGAATGACAACCTGCTAGGGGCGGTTCAGACAGCCGCTTCCTGTCTCTAGGACAGCAGCGTGTGCTGTGCTGGGAGCACTCGCAGATCCGGGGGTGCTCCCTGAAACAGCAGAGAGATGACAGGTGCTAACGGATCTGCACACTCACTCTGCATGCTGAATTCCTGACACCCTGATCTCCAGTGTGGTAAATTTTTTTCTTCTCCCAAAGCAGGTCCAGCCCAGCTGGATGTTCAGGTTCAGTGTGATACATTTGATTCTCCTTAATCAGCCTGAGCTTTTTTAGTTTCTGGATTGGGGCTGAGTTAGGCAGAGTTAGGGAGAGGAGGGAGAGAGATCTTGCATCCGCTGGTCCATTCTTGAAATGTTTGCAACAGCTGGAGCTGAGCAGATTTGAAGCCAGAAGCTTCCTCTGAGTTGCCCATTAGGATGAAGGGTCTTAATGACTTGGACAATCTTCTACTTGCCCAGGCCATAAGCAGAGAGCTGGACTGGAGGTGGAGCAGCCCAGACATGATATGGGAGGGCGGCACCCACAGGCGGAGGCTTAGCCTACCAGGACAGCTCGCCCCCCAAATCATCCTTTTGATAGTGGTGATTAACCATGCCTGCCCATCCACCCCCACTGACCAGGATATGTGCTGAGTGTGAGACCAAATGTGATGTGGATCTTGTGATGAGATGACTGGTACTTAGAAACCAGTGTCTCCTGGGCTTACATTCGCGTAGATTTCACTACTTCTAATGAGGCTGGTGGCATACCTTGCCACAATACCATCTGATCATTAACCACTGGCATTAGAGGAGGCCATTCAGTCCTGGGCAAGTCCGTGCCCTTTAGTTTAACTACTACACACATACCCATCTCCCTTTCGTTCTTCAGAAATGACAGGTGTTTTGAAAAAGGCAGTTTGGTCATTCACAGCAAGTAATAACAGGTGGTTTATAATGAATGAAGATAATTATTGAGATCTACTCTCTATTAAGCTTATTGCAAGCCCCAGCTGTTTCTCTTAGGGAACTGGAACTGGCTCCTGAAACACTCCGCTGGCATGGCACCTTCCCTCCCCCAGCCACTTGCTCACTTGCTGCCTTTCGCAGACCTCACGAGGCAGGGGTAGAGTGTCACCAGGATCCTCGTGTCTGAGAGTAGGGAAGTGGTTTGTTACCCTGGCATCTTTTTGCATGCATTTGAAGAGAGATATCAGGAAGCCAGAAATACTGCAAGTTTATAGATTAGTGCTAGACACAGAGCATGCTCCATGGGTTATTTCTAGGAAGACAAAGAGATTCTGTGTCTTATATTTTAAAAAAAAAAAAAAAACAAAAACCAGCATCTCACTTCATCCTGCTCAGTCCAGTGGTTTGACCCCAGTGCTTCTGCTGTTTGCTGGTGAAAACTAGCCAAGATGCAAGGTGGTGGCTGGAACACATGGCAGAGGCTGAGTAATTCAGTCACCTAAAGACCATCTGAAGAATAATTCCCTTGGAAGTAGGTGTCTGTCACCAGAATTCTAGAATTCTGCTGGGTCTCAGTGATGTAGTTGTTTTATGAACCCAAGCGGTTCTCATAGTAGGAAAGGCAGCGTCCCTTCCATCTGTCCTCATCTGTCTTGCCCAGTTATTGGGAGAAAATAACTCCTGTCTGTGACAGCAGTCTGTGGCATAGTCCTCTGTCTTGCCCTTGCTGGTAGCAGGTGTGGACAAGGCCTGCGGGCCTTTGGAGGAGGTGAGTTTGGTTATTAGATGTCATGTGGCTCCAGGCCCATGGCCACTTCCCTGGAAACCTAGGGCCCAAGACACTTCCAAGTGTACTCTCATGCTTCCTGTTGAATCCTTGAGGGAAAACCCAGAAGCTGAGCAGTGCTGCGTTTGGGCTTCTGGGTGAGAGGGTCTGAGCAGACTACCCCTTTGGTTATCACACCATTGTCCATGTAAGGGGCAGGTTCAGTTCTGTTGCTGTCCACTTAGAAGAGCTTCTGACTCTTCATTTTATATAAAGCAGACGACAGGGTGAAGAGTAGTTGTCTCATATGGTTTTACAGTTGGTTTTCAGGGGGAGAGAAAAGGCCTTATTTGCTGATTTCTGTGGTTTAAATACCCACATCCTTCTCAGCAGATTTAGGCTACCAACATAAAATACTCGGCACAGAGATGCGAAAGGGACATGCGCAGTTATCGGCTGACTCCAGCACACCCCTGCTGCATCCCCTCTATGTCTGTAAGGCCTGCAGCTGCCAGGAAACAGACACAGAACAGAGAGGACCAGAGATGGGCAGGAGTTCACAGCCAAGTGAGATTTATTATCAAAGAGAAAAATACACTGAGGGTGACCGACTGCCTGTGTAGATGGAGTGACTACATGGCAGGGGCCCAGTCTTCCAGCAGGCTGGGTTTTTTTTATAGTTTGGGGCCTTTGAGGGGTATTCCTAGGTATGGGGGAATTCCAAGAAAATGGAGGAATGAGCCAGGACCCAAGACATTTCAACTTTTAGTAGGTTTTGTTCCCTGGGGACAAGCAAATGCAGAGACTGGGGTGGGGGCAGGTTAGAATGGCCTTTGGAAATGCTGTGTAAGTTAAGCTGCTGGTGGCAGATTCCCTGTTTGGTATCCCAGGGCATAAGGCACAAACTTGTGTTCTTGCCCCCTTCAGTTATTGTCTGTTGTCCAGGGTACAGCCTGTATAACTCCTGTTGGCAGCTCTCCTCGCCGCCACCTTCCCCACAGACCTATTCTGACCACATCAGTGTTTCCTGAATTCCCACGCTCAGATTGGGATGGGACCAGCAAAAATTGGCACACTGGGGACCAACCCAGATGCTGTGCCATTGTGCACCTCTGCTCTGGCAGTCAAATCTTTGCTCTTTTTTTTTCCCCTTTAAAAAATTTTTTTTTATTGAAAAAGTATATTTAGAGAGAAGGAGAGATAAAGATCTTTCATCTGTTGGTTCATTCTCCATGTGATCACAACAGCTGGAGCTGAGCCAATCCAAAGCCAGGAGTCAGGAGCTTCTTCTGGGTCGCCCATGCAAGTGCAGGGTCCCAAGACTTTGGGCCATCCTCTACTGCTTTCCCAGGCCACAGCAGGGAGCTGGATGGGAAGTGGAGCAACCAGGATACGAACCTGTGTCCATATGGGATGCTGGCATGTGCAAGGGGAGGACTTTCGCTATACTAGTCTGCTGTGCCGGGCCAAAATCCCTGCTTTTAGTTCTTAGTCAGGCATCTGGGCAAATCCTTCCTCATTCCCATTCCTTTGTTGAGATGGGGGCTGGAGGCCAGTCCTGGGAAGGAATGCTGAGGAACACAGGACTTCAGGGACACAGGACCCTGCCACCTGACTTCCTGAGGCCCCATGTGCTCCTCTTGGGCCTGCTGTGAATGGGGGGATTCTGCCACGTGGGCTGTTGAGGCTTTAATGGAATAGGGAGAGAGACAACTCAAGCAGGCACGCTGGGACCTGGGTCCTCCCAAGGTGTGCCCACCCAGCGCCAGGTGTTTTTCCAGATGTCTGCTAGCCACTTCTCTGGTCAGTCACATGCTGCTGGACTTCCATGGCCCCCCAGGATCCATTACACCTCTGTGTCGGTGGGTTCCCTTGATACGGGCAATAGAAGCTAAAGCTGAGGAGACAAGCGTTCTGCTAGAACACCTGTTTAGGGAGAGTGAAGATAGGGATTGGGCTGGGTGTAAAGTAGAATCTTCAAGTGTTGCTGCTGACACTCGCCCTCTTTCTCTCTTGCAGTAGTATTTTGCCTTTGAGTAACTGTCCCCAGCTCCAGTGCTGCAGGCACATTGTTCCAGGGCCTCTGTGGTGCTCCTGATGCCCCTCACCCACTGTCGAAGATCCCCGGTGGGCGAGGGGGTGGCAGGGATCCTTCTCTCTCAGCTCTAATATATAAGGTAAGGAGGACCCTGCGACCCAGGGCCCCCTGGGGCTGTGCTCAAGGCCTGGTGTTGGGGAGGGACCTGGAGGGAGTCTGAATCAAGGCTGCTAAATGGCTCTTCAGAGGACGGGAGCAACACCTCTTGCTACCTGCTCACTGATGTGGTTGGAGCCCACAGTTGGTTTCAGGTTTCCTTAAGCCTAGGATGGAAGGTTAGCCAGCAAGCTAAAACTGGAGCCCTGGAGACTGCAGTGGGCTCCACCTTCCACCAGGGACAGGCCTGGGTTATTGAGACTCCAGCCACACACATTTTCTCATTTGTGCTTCATGGGGAAGAAAAAGGCGTTTTGGGAAAAGCATGGGCTTCCGAGTCGGTGCCGGGCAGGGGGGCTAGTGATGGACCCTCAACTCTGCAGCTGACCCGTGGAGCCTTGAGCCAGCTGCTTATGGCAGGGGCCTTGCTGTCTGGTTTTTAAAATGGAGCTAATGCTCCAGGGCTCGGCATGGGGCTGGTGGGGTGGACAGCCCCTGCATCAGCAGAGCTTAGTATCCTGCTAACCTGAGATTGGCCCGAGAGGCCGCCTCGTGCCACTTCAGTTAGGGAGCGGGTGGTGGTGGTGGCTGGAAGCAGCAGGGGGACTGATCTGCTGTCTTGCTTCCCTTTCCAGGACGAGAAGCTCACTGTGACCCAGGACCTCCCTGTGAACGATGGAAAGCCTCACATCGTCCACTTCCGGTATGAGGTCACCGAAGTGAAAGTCTCTTCCTGGGATGCAGTCCTGTCCAGCCAGAGTCTGTTTGTCGAGATCCCAGATGGATTATTAGCTGATGGGAGCAAAGAAGGGTAAGGAGCACACGTGGAAGGAGAGGCCGCTGCAGAGGAGGGTCTGGGCTGATTGGGGATTTGGAGGGGACTCGCTCTCAGCAGCAGACTGCCCAGGCGGCCAGCAGTGTGGAACACATAGGTTAGAGTCACAGCACAACACTGTCACAGTAACCAGAATCCTGACACTGCATCATCCTGTAGTGCCCAATTTCCAGCAGAAACCAGGTTTCTGTTGGGCCCTGCAGTGGTGCAGCTCCAAAGCCGAGAGAGAGAGGGATGGCCAACGGATCAGGCAGGACCCTTTGGGCAGCCCTGTGTGTGTGTGTGTGTGTGTGTGTGTGTGTGTGTGTGTAGTTCTCTGCAGTGGCCCTGTGTGTGTGTGTGTGTGTGTGTGTGTGTGTGTGTAGTTCTCTGCAGTGGCCCTGTGTGTGTGTGTGTGTGTGTAGTTCTCTGCACTGGCCCCAAGCTCAGGAGCATGCAGGTCCAGGGTGTCCCTCTCTGTGGCAGGTGATCTTGGAGGATCAGTTTCTATGCTCCGCACTATCTTTGAGCTGTATTACTTCAGATAGTGTTGGAACACTCAGTATATTTTACAGAGTGAAGTGTTGCCCAGTACTAGAATGAAAACAATGCCAAGTAAGAGTGTTAAACGGAGACAGTGTTATTTTTAGACGAAGAACCTAAGATTCCTTGTCAGCAGTGGATTCCATCTTCCCCTAACTCCTGGGGTCTCCCCAGAACATCTGATACTGCTGGCTGTTAGCCCCAGAACAGCCTGGGTTTTTTTTTGCCTCCAGGGGTTAGGGTGGGAGTGGGCCCAGGGGTAGGGCCAGGGAGGTGATGGCTGAGTAGTTTGTGCTCCCCACAGATTGTTAGCACTGCTCGAGTTTGCTGAAGAGAAGATGAAAGTGAACTATGTCTTCATCTGCTTCAGGAAGGGCCGTGAAGACAGAGGTGAGGAGCACTGGGGGCTGGGGAGGATGGGGCGGGCTGTGGTGCAGCTACACGGGATGGTACAGGCCACCTCCAGCTTCCTGGGGCCTTCATCAGGGCTGGTTCCATTCTGTTCTCATCGGAACCCTTTTTTATCTTCTTTCCTCTGCAGCTCCACTCCTGAAGACCTTTAGCTTCTTGGGCTTTGAGATTGTACGTCCAGGCCATCCCTGTGTCCCCTCTCGGCCAGATGTGATGTTCATGGTTTACCCTCTGGACCAGAACTTGTCCGAAGAGGACTAGTGGGGATGCTTTGCCCAAGAGCACCAGTGGGGGATGAGGGGGTAGTTAGGCAGCCCTGGGGCAGAGCGGAGGCCTCCCCACTGTTGGGCAGGACGCTGAGGGGCTCGGGGTGAGGGCTGCCGCCTGTGTCCTCGGGATTGACGCGTTGAAGTTGTTTCCCATAAAGAACAGTATAAACATATTATTCACATGTAATCACCAATAGTAAATGAAGATGTTTATGAACTGGCATTAGAAGCTTTTTAACTGCGCTGTGTGTGCTCTATCTAGCCTAGGGGAGGACTTTGCCTAGCTGGGGAGGGAGTGCCAGGGGCCAGACCTGGAGGGTCGCTGGCCAGGACTGGCAGCCTCAGGTGCCCCTCCTGCTGTTATGGTGGTGTTTGGTTTTTAAGACTTACTTGTTTTCTTTCTTTGCTTTTTGTTGCCCCAGGGGCTCCTGAGTGTAGGCTTTCCCTGCCCCTGGGCAGTATCCCGGAGCTGTTTCCTGACCTGCCTGGGCTTCTCTGTGCAGTTTGTCTGGCCTGGAGCAAGTGGGTCTGACCACCCCTTCTTTTCAGCTTAGTGTTATTCTGGCATTTGGTTAAGCCGGCTTAATCTGTTCCATGTTATCAGTGCATTTGAAATAGAGGCGTTGAAGTTCACCTCCCCAACCAGGGTTTTTTTTAGATGTCTGGGACTTATAAAACACTAGCCAAACTCCAGTTCTTACATCACCACCACAAGTTCTTGCTCCTGTGCCAGGGTCACGACGAGCAGAACAGAGGAAGAGGAGCAACTCAGGGCCTGGGGATTGTGGGGGGGAACATGTTGCTAGGGCCTGACTGCCTCTGGCTGGCTGAGCGCCATGCCGGCTGCCTCCCCAGTTGGGCTGTGAGTAGTGCCTGCGACCTGGGCTTGCAGAAGTGGGCCACCCTTTACTGTTTTCACCCAACAGCTTGTTCTAAGGGGAGAGGAAGGGGGAGAGCTCTAGTTTGGGCCGGGGTGGGGGTGTCAGGGAGGCCAGTGTGTTGTGTTAACTGTGTCAATAAACTGATTTAAAGTTGTGGTGGTTCTGTTCTTTATTACTCCCAAATTGGGACCAACTTCCTCTCACTAATGTTTTTCAAGTCCAGAGCCTAGCTTATTAGGATGTGGGCCCTCACTCAGCCCTGAGGAAAACACGGGAGCCTGGCAATGCAGAAGAACTTTCAGGTTACAATCCCTGGGGCTGCTTTACACTAAGACCAAGAGGGGTTGCTAGGAGTCTGGGATACATCGCCAGAGCCCCAGGAGAGACAGTGTGTACAAACAGCTTTCTTTGGACCAGAGACTAGCCAGCAGTGAAAGCATTCTTACCTGTTGCATCTAGAGGGTTCGGCCATCCAGGAGCTCCCATCTTCTGTTTTTTTTTTTTTTTTTCCTTTTGGAGCCAGTGTCCCTGTGACATCAGCCTGAAGACTCACCTCTCTCTGGCACTAGCTAGTATTTTCCCTTTTCCAAGTGAAGGGCATATTTTTCTACCTCTTACAGCTTTCCGGACATTGCCTGTTGGCTTTTGATCTGTCTCCAGGTCTTTGGCCTACTGTCACGTGTTTTCTCATGGCGTTTGTCTTTACCGTGGTGAAAGATGTGAGTGCAACACCCTGACTCCATGGATACCTGTGGGCTAAAGATACGCAGGTGAACTTGCACGGTCTGGCCACTGGCTTCAAAGTAGTTTAGGATGGCTCAAATGCCGGGGTTTTTGCATCCGTGTGGGACATCCCAGGGAAGCTCCCGATTTCCACTTGACCCAATTGACTGGCAATTGTCATCTAGGGAGTGAATCGGCAAAAAGATTTCTTTCACTGTCTCCCCTTCCCTCTCTAACTCTGAAGTAATACATATATCTTAAACAAAACTCAATCCTTTCTCCCCAAACCCTGAGTGGATGAGAAACATGCCTGAGGCTCTGCTGCCATCTGCTGGTGGTTCCTCTTCAGTAGAGCAGGAGTTGAATGAGACGCTGCGTCCCCAGTCTTCCCTCTCCAAAACCTTTCTCTGTTGAAGGCCGGCCGGCAGGAAGGCATACCCAAATACCCAGAGGCTGCACTCCAACTAAAAAGCAACTCAATATTTTATGGGGCAGAGGGGTGGAGCTGGACAGGAGAGGTACGTGAAAGGCAAACTAAATCTAAAATTTAAGAACAGGGACATTAAAAACTTTATTCAATAAATACAGCAAATAATTTAAAAATATACTTCAATTCCAAAGCCAATTAAGAAAAGGAGTAGTGAGAAAGGGAAACACAGACAAGGAAAGGAGAGGCTGAACAATGGTCGGGCTTTTCAGAATGTACTGCCCTTTGAAATTCTGGTAATTCTGATCAAATGCTCTTGACCCATTAACCCTTAGCCCTTGTTTTCATGGGGTCACTCCAGTAGCCTACCAACTCCAAATGCTCAATCCCCCCGGGCACTCGGGAGGCTGTTTCCTGCTCATCCTCATCTGCCAGGCAGGTTTCAATAGTGCAAACTCTTGGGCAGAGAGCTCCCAGCTGCATAGTTTCACAGGTGTGTCCAAAGCCAGGGCCTCTGGGAGATGGGTCCCAGAGCTGCCAAGGGTCCTAAGCCACTTTGGTGAATGGGATCTAAAGGTGAGGAGAGGTCAGGTCACAGGGTCAAGCTCCTGGACTAAGCCAGAAAACTGGTGGGCAGGAAAGGGCTACAGGGCAGTAGTCGGGCCTCGCTGTTAGCCAGGGGGGTAAGCGAGGACGTGTGTGGAGCGAGCCCGGGGAAGTCTGGGAGCTTGGGAGGAAGAAGAGTTGGGGAGAAGGAGGTGGCAGCTCAGCAGCAAACTTCAGGAGAAATAACCAGCAGCCCTCACAGATTTTTGATTGTCTCTTAAAAAGATTTATTTTCTCTTCTTGCCTGAATGTACAAAGGCAAAAAGAGTACAGTTTGTATATATATATATTTATATATATATATAAAAAAACAAGGAACTTGGTAATGTACACTTTACAGAAGGGAAGAATCAGGAAGACTGAAATGAAATCCAACAGAGCAACACCAATGGAACAAAAGCTATGAACAACACTGCCCCTCCAGCCCGGGCCTCCAGCTCGCCCCAACCTGCTCCCAGTGGGAGGGCTGAGCACCAAGGCAAGCGGGTGGGCTGGGGCAGGAGGGGCTGGGGACAGGGTCTGGGAGGGGCTTGATCCCAGGGGGCCCACCCAGGGGGTCATTGGAAAGCTTGCTGGGATGCCCTGGTAATAAAACAATACAGCCCCAGAATTAGGGGGCCAGCTAGCTGCCCAGTTAACTTGGGGGCATCAGAGTAGACATGTGGGTGGTGAAAAGGGTATGTGGGTTAGTAAGTGACAAGGGTGGCCTCAATGCCCATGTGTAAGAATTCTCTAGCCCTTCTGCACCCTTATCTCCTAACTCCCTAGATAAGTCCTCCCTCCCCTTTACTCTGGAACCTGGAGAGAAGAGACTGAAGAAATCACTACTGGATTTCACAGGGTCACCTCTTACCCTTCTCTGTGGGTCTTTTAATCTTGAGGTGTTTGGAGAGAAGGGGGAAGGGACATTTCATAACTATACATTGCCATGTGCGAGGCAGGGGAAGGGGACCAGAGGAACTGGCGCACCTTCAGTGAGGGCCAAGTTGCCATGAATCCGGAAAAGCGCCGATCCGGGCCTTGGCAATCTCACCTGGGGGTGAGGCTACTTTTCCTTAGCCGCTTCTCCCTGGGGAGCCCGGGGAGCAGCAGGTGTGGCTTGGAGAGAGGCTGGGTCTGGTGGTCTGGGCCCTTAGCAGCAAATCTGTGCAGAGCTGGCTCATGGGGCAGGGAGCCCTGGTGAATGCCCCATGACTCTGGTGACTGGGTAGGTGTAAGGTGCCACAGAGAGAGCCTGGGAGAGTATGGCCAATCTCAGAAATCATCTAGGATCCCCGGAGTGCTGCGATCCCAGGGAAAGGCAGGGATCAGGGGCTGGAAGGCAGTGCCAACTCTGCCGCTGTGGCTTCTGCCTGCCCTATTGCGAGACTTAGACATAAGGATCAAAGAGCCAGATGGTTTTTAAAGGGGAAAAAAAAGATAAAAGCTGTCCCTTCTGCAGAACCCAAGGCTGCCCTTGCTAATACAGAAGTTCCTCCTCTCTGTGTTACAGAATGAAGTGGAAAGGGCAGGAAGGTGGGACTACCCCTGCCCAGCAAGAAAGACCATTTCCTCCAACAGTTTCTTTCTTTACAGTATGTACAGAGCACACCTTAGACCAGTGCCACAGATAATACAAAACACACAGCATTATCTAAAAACAAACGGCAACATAGCTGGGCCTTTGTCTCCGCCCCGGAGCAGCCTGGGGTTCACTGGACCGAATTCAGCTACCCTCTCGGCGGGGGCTGACTCAGGTGAGGTGAGGTGAAGGTGTCCACACCTGCCACTTCCTTGGATGAAAGGAAGTCACTGCTCAGCACTGCCCACGGGGGGCAGCAGGCAGAGGGGCCGATGGCATGTCGGGGGAGAGGTCTAAAACAATGGGTTGTCTGGGAGGATTCAGAACATGACTCAAACGAGAACAAGGACCCGGAAGCCTAGGGTAAGGGCTGTGGGCAAGAGGGGTTCCCCTTGGAAAAAACGTCCCTAGGCTTCTCTATGAGTAGGGTCAGGGGTCTTAGGAGCCACCCTCTCCTGGGCATTGTGCTTACTGTCCCCCAGCACACTGTTCTCCAGAATGAAGGGGAGTCGAGCTCCTCGTCACTTTTGGCTGTCTGCTCATGAAAACACCCTTCAGCTTGGGCTCGGGTCTGTGGTCATTCTTGGTCTGTCTTAATCAGAGGGTCAGGAAGACAAGAGGAGAAAAAAGGGCCGAGTCCTCTAACGTGCAAGAGGAGCAAGGGCTGCTCATCCTGGGGAGGAAGCGACTCCAGGACACAGGCGACAAGCTGGGACTGGGATACTGTGTTTTGGAGGGCGGAGAACTGCTTGCCACCCCAAGCTCAGTATGCCACGCCATGCCACACCACGCTACGAGCAGTGCTTGGAGGATGCGTTCCCAGACCTAAGGAATAGATAACCTCCTAGGGCCAGTGGCCCTTATACCAAACACGTGTGTTAAAACACAGCTTATATCGGCACATATAGAGGTTACAGACTGGGCTATATAAAACGTATTTATGGACAGGAATTGGATTACATATGTGTATATATATGTATCTGCGGCCCTAAATGAGGAAGACACTCAGAGGGTGGAATGGACAGGACATCACCAAGGACCACTGTGGGCAGGCAGGGCCTGTCTCCTGGGCCTTGCCCTCCAGTGACCAAGCAGACTGAGGTTCCCCGTGCTGGCGGGGAGGAAAGACTAGTTTACCTGCCTGAGTCTTAAGGGCTGAGCAACAGAAAAGAAGAGGTGAGAGCAGTGTGGGTATCTCCCTGGAAGAGGCATCCAGGGATGAAGAGAAAGGAGAAAGGGGCCATGAGTTGGGGTAAGAAGCAGCAGGACCGGGGGTGGGGGGGTGGGGGGGGTGCAGGTTCCGTTTCACAGCCTCCACGCTCCAGTGCCATGCTGCGGCCGGAGCCCCTGCCCTCTGCCTGACAGGGAGAGGCAGCCCGAGGCCAGGGTGGGCGAGGGCCCCGGTTGGCCTTCCCAGGCCAGGCTCTGAGCGCTTCTGTGTGCTCATGTGAGAGGGAGATTTCTCCAGGTTCAAAGACCTTGTTTTCACAATAGGGAAAACAATCCCCCCATTTCTTTCCTGAGATTCTAATTCCTCCACTTGCTGCCAATGCCCAGGGCCCACACCCCTGGGGAGCTGCAGGAACTGGGGATGGTGGTGATGACGGGGAGTGGGGTATGGCTGCTGTGCTGTCTTCAGCCCTTACCCAGTGCTTGCAGGACCCTCCTTGGGCTGGGGCCAGGGAGCACTGCCCTGGCAGCAGACCAGGGGCTAGGGGAACAGAGCAGTGACTTTCTCTGGGCTGAGGCCGTGCTCCCCTGGCTGCTCCCTGTGCCATCATCTCCACGGAGGCCACGACAGTCTTGGTTGTGGCCCAGAGAATAAATATTTTCGCTAAGTACCAGCTTGCCAGCTCCCGAGGAAGAGAGTCATGGAGTCCAGGGGTCTCCCTTCAGGCATGGTGGAAACGGCAAACAGGATGATCCACGCCATCTAACTGATGTCTAAGTGGCACCTCCAGCACCTCCTGGGGTGAGCCAGTCCGGGCCGTAAAGCCGATTTTTTCCGGGCACTGGGTGTCCTACAAGAGAGACACGCATAGATAGCCAGGCACTTGGCCTGCTGCCGCAGCAACCACAAGGTGGTGCTCTATGAGAAAGGAACCGCAGGGGAGGCCAGTGCTGGACACAGATGTGCCCCGGGAGACTCTCGGTTTAAGAGGCTTGGCCAGGGTTGCTGTTTTCAGATCACAGACCCCACACTGCTCTCCCTCACTGACTTCACAGGGATGCTGTGACCCAGGGAGCAACTCTCTGCTCTGTGTTGCCCCACAGGAACAAAAGCTACTTACCATTCTCACCTCCTGGGGGGCGGGTAGAGGGAGGGAGCGGAGCCTTGCTGGCTGGCAACAATGGCTGTGGAAGAGAGCCCTGGGTGGGCAGGAGAACGTGTTAGTGCACACTCACAGAAGCTTGCCACTCTTAGCACTTGCCACCCATCCCCCCCAGCCCCTGCCCCAGGGGGCCCTGGGAGCCAGGCATGGGTAGGAGTTTCTCCTTAATCCCCACCTCTGCTGAGATGCAGGGTGCTGACACAAATGTTGGGACTTGGACATTTACAGAGGCTGAGGATAGATGACAAGGCTGGATTTTTTTGTTGTTGTTCTAATTTTTCTGGCTGTGGGAACACCTGCTCTTTATTCTGAAGATCAAAGCGAATGTTAGGAAGGCCTTTTAGAGACCTGAAGCTCCAAAGGAAGAAATAAACATAACAGAGTTTACTGACTGATCACAGGAGATTAAGACACTGGGCTGGGCCATTAGACACTCAAACAACTAAAATTTTTGCAGGGAGAGCTGGTGGAGATATTCCTGGGGCCAGGGAGGGACATGGGGGACAAAGCTAGGAGGTAGGCAGACTGGCTTACCTGCTGCATAGGGGAGGTTGTACTGTGCTGGGAGCAGCGAGTACCCCAAGTGGTGGTGGTGGTGGTGTGTGGACATCAGGCGCTGGGAAGGAGAAGTGCGGGGCCGGTCGACGCTGCGTTCACCCCCGCCTGCTCCCCCGACGCTGCTACAGCTGCTACCGCCCCCAACCACCCCACAGCCTCCCCGATCTCTCTCCTGAGAAGTTTTATCACTTATCTGGAAAGGAAAGCAGACACACAAAAGCACTGCAGTGAGTGAGACACACCCACCCCACAGCGAGATGCCTGCATCTTGCATTATGATGCTAACATTAAGAACATGAATGAATCTAGGCGCCGCCCTGTTGGGTCCTCCTCGGCCAGCTAAGCTGCACTGTGCTCTGAATGTCAACTTGCCCACCTTCTCCCAGACCTCAGCTCTGCTCTTACTGCGCTCTGCCTACCAGCCAGCGTGCCCATACCTGTGCTTCCCTTACCGTGGGAGACTTGCTCTTGTAGTGACTGGCATGCTGCTGCAGGATGTCCAGGGCTTTGGACTCAGAGCTGGCTTTACAGCTGACACTGGGGCTGGCCCGTGCCTTCTCAGCATCTTCGCCACCTGAAACCTTGCTGCCGTATGGGGAGAAAGAGTAGCTGGAAGGCAAATAAGAACCTGGAGAAGGAGAAACAAAGTGGTCACAGGACAGGTGAGGTGGGCAGTTGGCTGTGTGAGCGTGGTTAGGCGGGTGTTGGCATTCCTGGCTTAGGCTAACTGGGCTGAGGGGAGTGGTTCGTGCTTTTGTCACTGAGAGCTGCAGGGAGGTTCTCTGAGGGCTGTTGGGAACTCGCCCCACTTCCCCATTCCTGCAGCCAGCTATCCCAGATCCCCTAGGAACCTGGAAACAGTCTCAGGTGATCTGTCTTGGAGAGGGGTCACAACGATGTGGGAAGATCAGAGAATTGGGAGCCAGATGGCCTCACGATTACCTCTGAGACACAGAAGCTGGGAAACCTTTGGCCATTTTGAGCTTCCACTTCTCCATCATCAAAGTAAAAGTACCAATATTTATTTTACAAGGTGATGAGGACAATTAAAGAAGACAGTGCACAAATCACCCAGGACAGTGTCTGAGACACAGCAAGCACTCCCACAACAAACGGGGCAGTGATTTTTCTACAGACGGGGCAAGTAACAACAGAGAAAGTGGTATCTTGAGGGTTAGGCCATTTCCCATGTCACTCTACTCAGAGTCTGCCTTACAATGATGTCACCATCAAGGCTGCTGCGAGGCATGGGTTCAGGAAATGTCTCGCCACCCTCAAAGCAGCTTACATACTTCCCCCTCCAAAGGCAGTAGCAGCAGGAAGAGCGACTCTCTCTCCTAAGGAAACTCTGGCTGGGCTCCCCTCGTCGCCTCATATGTTGTGCCCCCTCTCTGCCTGGTTTCTGATCCTGCAGCTGAACGGGATGTTGCACTGGTCTGACTTTTATCTGTTCCCCACGTCTTCCCTGCTACACACTGTGAGCTCCTTGCATGAAGGGAGCAGATCTTCCCTGCCTCTGCTGTATTGCACACAGTGCCTAGCAGAGTGCAAAACGCACAAGGCCTGGGAGGGGCAGCGCTTTACCTTCAGTTACCAATCACAATGCATTATACAAGCAGCTTGAATGAGGGAGAGAGAGGTGGTCCCACACACAGACTAGGGGGCACTGAAGGAGCTATGGGCTCAAGCAGACCAATCCACACATGGACATGAACAAACAGGGCTGTCCTCAGCGCAAGCCCTTGAGGGCTGAGCAAAGACCTCTGGCTTTAAACTCTGCGCTTTGTCTCCCTTCCCAGTGAACAGAACGGCAGCTGGCCCTGGGGTGCTGTACCTGGGTAGTTCTGCATCATCACAGCAGGCATGCCCCGGTAGCTGGGGTGGTTGGGGTCATAGGACTGGCTGTAGGAGTAGCCGTGCATGTAGGGAATGTAGGACTGGTGCTGGGTGAGGGGGGAGGACACAGGCACATGGACACTTGGCCGGGGCTCCTTGCTCCCAAGGCGGGACTCCTCAGACGTGGGCAGCTTGCAGTCACTACTTGTGCTTTCCTTCCCATCCTCCTTGGGGACAGAGTCCTTACTCCGACTCCTTTCCTCCTTCAACTTGCGGTCCCGCTCCTCCTTCCACCGTTCATCCTCTGACTTGATGTCGGAGTACTTGGCAGGATAGACATACGTCCACATCCGGGGCTCTGCCTCCTACAGCAATCACAGAGTGAGGACTGAGCGATGCACAGATAACCCAGGGATGCATTTCCAGCCCAAAGCCCCAGCAGAAACACCACAGTGGGTACTGCCCAGGGGCAGAAAAGGATCTTGTCTCTATTGATCTTTGGCTACAATCTACCTCTGGCCCTTAATAAATAAATATCTAATAAATAAATAAAAAGAAAAGCTTATTTGGAAGGAAAAAAGGTTCTGCCATGGCATTGTGGCATAGGAGATAAAGCTGTCACCTCCAATGCTGGCATCCCATATGGGTGCTGGTTCATGTCCCGGCTGCTTCACTTCTGATCCACCTAGCTTCCTGTTAATGCTCTGGGAAAGCAGCGAAAGATGGCCCAGTGCTTGGGCCCTCCCCCACACACAGGAGACCAGCAAGAGGCTTCAGGTTCTTGGCTTTGGCCTGGCTCAGCTTTGGCTGTTGTGACTACATGGGGAATAAACCTGTGTGTGGAAGATCTCTTCAAATAAGTCTTAAGCAAAGCAAAACTTCGCTCTCCTCTCCAAGGGATGCTGGGAGAGAGAAGGGAAATCCCAGTGCTTGGGCCCTCCCCCACACACAGGAGACCAGCAAGAGAGAGAAGGGAAATCCACCAGGATGTTATGTTCATGGGCTAGGACAAATATGCTGGGGCAGTGACTCCTGGGACGAGGCGCCTGGCCCTTCCCAAGGCTTGGTAAGTTCATTACTGTAGAGCAAGCTCAGGGGGTAGAAAGCTGTCCCCGAAGTCAGAGGGAGGTGTAACTGCAGCCCCAGAGAACAAAAGCCATTCTAAGTCTCATTAACAGAGCACGACATGAGTCTCTCAAGTTCTTAGTTCTAACTCTATCAGCAAAATCCTTTCTGAGGGCAGGCACTGTGGTGTAGTGGACTAGGCCTTTGCCTGCAGCACCAGCATCCCACATGGATGCTGCACCTTGCTGCTAAAATACCCTGGATGGCAGTGGGGAATGGCCCATGTGTTTAGGCACCTGCACTGACTTGGGAGACCTGGAAGAAGCTCCTGGCTTCTGGCTTCAGCCTGACCCCACCCTGGTATTTGCATCCGTCTGGGTAATGAACCAGCAGATGGGAGATTCTTTGTTTCTCTTGCTCTCTAACCATTTTTTCAAATAAAGGATAAGTCTTAAAAAAAAATCCACAAACATTAAAATGGGTTACAAAAATCCAGAATAACTAAACTTGTGCCCCTCACTTGCTTCATCTGAGCTCTGTGGAAGTCCCACCTAAGCACAGCCCTGGCTGGGAAGGAGGCAGGAAGCTTAGCCAAGAGCAGCTCTGCTTCCTCCCAGGGCCACGGTTACCTGTCGGTACCAGAGTATCGGATCCACCTCGGCCTGTCGGCCACAGTCAACACCTGGCTTAGCCTCGGAGGCCTCCTTGCCGAGGTGGCTGGCCTCGCTCAGCTTCCCTTTGAGGCTGTCGGGGGCCTGGCTGGGGAGTTTTGCAGAGTCGTCCATCTTGGGGATGATGACTGACTTGGCAGGGTCGGCGCCCGGCTCCTTGGCCTTGGTGGGCCCCGACTTGACCAGGTCTGTCAGGCTGGGGGCCTTGGTGAGAGTCGGTGGGACTGATGGCTTTGGCTTCCACTCCTCCTTGAGGGACGCCTCCCGCTCCTTGAGACCCAGCTCAGCCTTCTTGTCCAGCCCCCGCTGCTGTGGTGGTGGTGGCGGCTGCTCCAGGCTCTGTCGTTTCTGCTGCTCTTCGTACTGCTGTCGGTAGGCGCTGTTGGTGCTCAGCAGGTGTGCGTGGTAGCTCTGGTCGCTGTAGCCGTAGGGGGGCACGTAGGCATACTGGTTGTAGTAGAGCGACTGCATGTACATGTTGGGCCGCTGCTGGATGACTGAGGGCTGCTGGCCAGAGGCGCTCAGCTCTGCCTTTTTCTCCTCGCACACGTCATTCTTCACCTTGCCCTCTAGGCTCTCGGGTTCTTCATCCTTTTTGGCCTTCAAAGTCTGGCTCTCCACTCCGGCCTGGCTGCTGGTGTTCAAAGCCCCAGGGCTGGACTGGGCGTAGCTTGGAGAGTAGTAACTCTCAAAGCCTTGGTAATAGGGAGACTCTTTGCTCTGTGGCTGAGGGGGGAAGAGAGTTTTCTTGGCCCCTTCCTTAACCAACTGCTCAGAGTCCTTTGACTTGACACTGTCCACCTTGCCCTCCCCGTCCTCCCCTGCGTCAGAGATGTCTGAGTACGCGGGGCTGTTGGTTTTGACAGAGCTGGCTTCAGCTCCATTCTGTGTTACCACGTGTAAGGGTGTGAGGGGCTGGGTGGGGGTCGTGCTCTCCAGGCGGCTGCCACCCCCGATGGAGGGGCTGGGAGCATTGTCCGTGAAGCTGTAGATCTTGTCAGCTTCTGCCTTGATGCTGGCCAGGCGGCTCTGGTGGGGGTCAGAGGAGCCATTTAGGAGGCCCTCCATTTTCATCCCGTCTCCAGAGGATTCCCGGAAGGGGCTTTTGCCATCTTCTGCTCGGCACACCTTCCCAGGGGTCAGAGGACTTTCAAGGTCCTTGGAGGAGTCCTTCTTTTTTTTGTCTTTCTTTTTCTTGTCCTTGGCCGGGGTCAAGGCAGGGTTCACTGTGAATGGTTCTCCCATGACAGTGGGCTTGGGCTGGATGGGCTTGAGTTGGGGGCTGTTGGGCATGGCATGCACCACGGTTGTGGCCAGGCCTGCTGAGGAGCCTGGGCTGGCGGCCGTGAAGGTGGCCGTCTGCAGGGTGTAGATGGGCTGTGGTGGGAGGGCAGGGGCGATGGGCCGGGCTGATTTCAAGCTCTTGGAAGGAACCTTCTCTGGCTTCAAACCAGAGGGTTTTTTGCATTTTTCTTTGTCTACACACTTCCTCTCCAAAGAGTCAAAGGCATCATTGCTTGTTTCATCCATCACCGAGGGCCCGTCATCAGAGCCGTCATTGGATAAAGCCCCAAGGTCCGTATCCCCTTCCCCGCTCAACTTTTTCTTACAGAGACCTTTTGTGCTGAATTTGCTTGAAGGAGAAGGGCTATGGGGCTCCACGAGCCGGACTTTGGGGGTGGCTGAGCGGGCAGGGGACAAGGAGCCTTTCTGAGAGCTGGCAGCACCGTTGCAGCCAGTGAGGTCTGCATGGAGGCCTGGCTCCTCCCCATACTCGCTGTCTCCATCTGCTTCCGGCTTGCTGTCGTCATCTGTGTGGGCATGAGCCTGGTGGTACTTAAGCCCATTGATGTGCTTATACTTCTTGTTGCAGTTGGGGTGGGGACAGTCAATCAGAACAGGGGAGGGACAGTTTCTGTCCAGAACAGTGGGTTCTACTTTGGTCCCAGGAAGGGGCCCAGAGGCTGAGCCCATGGAATTAGTACGGACACGCTTGCTCCCTTTGGAGTCCTCTGAGCTTGAATTCAGTTCCATGTCTGAAAGGGGCTTATTTTTGCGCTTATTTGCTGAGGAAGGGCTGGCTTTGACATCCTCGGAGGCGCTGGTAGCAGTGGGGCGGTGCTCTGAAGAATTCTGGCTGCCCCGACGGCCTTTGCTGTTGGCTCCAGCCCGGGTTTTGCTGCTGCTGCTGGTCCCTTTGCTGTCCGAAGTGGCGGTCGTCTCGTTGACAGGCGTGTTGCTGTTGGGACGCATGCGTTTGCCTCTACCCCGCCCATTGCGCATTTCCAAGTCACTGGTGGGGGAGTCACAAAACCTTGGCAAAGGACAAGCACAACAGGGATTAGTAAGAAGAGGAAATACCTTCCAATCAGTTTAGTTGTAGCCTCTAGATGACCCCTCCAGATGGCAACTATCATTTTCCATGAACACGGCTTATTAAAAGACTTTGACTGTGTGGGGACGGCATGAAGTGGTGAGCTCCTAGGAGGCTGTGTGCTAGGTGTCAGTTATTTCCAGATACACAACTCAAGTCATGCGGAGCTCGTTCTAGAAGACACAGAGCAGTCATGCCTGTGTTTTTTATATACAGCCCCAGTCATGGTTCCAGAAAGGACATTATTAACTAACCAGGAAATTGAGGCCAGCCAAGCTAAATGATTTGCCCAAGGTCACAGTGTTGATTAATGACAGCACATGACCAAAATCTAGCTCAACACGTTTTACTCTGCACAATTTACTACAAAGGGAGATAGGTAGAACACAGCACCCATACTTAAGGGGCCCCTAGATGAGTCCTGAGCAAGACAGGGACACTAGTACGGGAGCTCTTTGCATGTCTGGAGGTCTGCCCCTAGGGGTCATGCCTCACTGGCTCCAGAGTCACTTTTCCTGGAGCTCAAATTACTATTCAGGATTAACCCATGCTAAAGGTGGTTCCCTTGTAGATCTGACTCTCTTGTCCCAGGGGCAACTGGAACTCCTGGGGCAACTTTTTTTAAAGGGATGGGAGCCATAGCCATGGTAGAAAAACGGTAAATTTCATCAAATATCTCCTTTGAGCCCCTCATGGAATTTAGTATTTCCCTGTTACTACCTGGGCATTCCAGTTCTGATATCTCTGGATTCTCAGATTGTCAAACAGAAGTGAATTTTTCAGAAATCCAAGGATAGAATGAAAAGAACTGGTCTTAGTTCATCTGTTTTCGACTCTTAGCAGGATTCCTGCTTGTGAATGTACTGAACATAGTCTCAAAATACTCCAAGTTTCAAGAAACCAAGTTCACAATCTGTTAAAACCAGGAGGCATTACCATAATCATACCTTGAAAGAGCAAGTGGTGTGGAATCAAGGACTTTACACTGTTTTTCCTTGGGATCTTTCTGCTTTTATTGGATTCATGGGAATAATGAGCAGTTAAGGGGTTCTTGCTGATCTATGTAAGCATGTACGCATACATGTATGTATCTCCTTCTGAGAGGCAGACAGACAGCAGCTCCTATCTGCTGGTTCACTCCCCAGATGTTGCAATGGTGAAGGCTTGAGGTCTGAGATCCAGGAACCAAACCCAGGTTTCCCACATATATGGGAGAGATCCAGCTATCAGAACCATTGATCCTGCCTTACAGGGTTGGCAGAAGAAGGTGGAATCCTGGGACTTGAACCCAGGCACTATGCTATGAGATACAGTTGTTTCAATTGGAGTTTTAGTTGCTAGGTCAAACACCTGCCCCAAGGTAAAAGGCTTAAAAATGTTTCTAAAATGGGGGTTATTCTACAACATAGTATTGAGTACTTTGATTCCCAACTGTTCTGCTTCTAATCTAACTCCTTGCTGATGTAATGGCTTAAAAGATGGCTCAAGTACTTGGCCCCCTGTCACTGACATGGGAAAATCCGATGGAGTCCCTGGTTCCTGGCTTCAGCTGGGACCAGCCCTGGGCCTTGCAGCCTTTGGGCAGTAAACCAGTAGATGAAAAATCAATATCTTTCCCTCTCTGTAACCGCCGTACCAACAAACAATATCTTTTCTAAAAAAATTAATTCTCTTAAAAAAAAAGATTTATTTATTTATTTGAAAGTCAGACTACAGAGTCAGACATCTTCCATCTGCTGGTTCACTCTTCAAATGTTGCAATAACCAGGGATGGGACAGGCCAAATGCGGAAAGCCAGTAGCATAAACCTGGTCTCCCAATTGGGTGCAGGGGTCTAAGTGCTTGGACCATGTTCTGCTGTGACTCCACATGCACTAGCAGGCAGCTGGACTGGAGAAGTAGCTGGATTCCAGCTGGTGCCCAGTTGGGATGTTGGCATCACAGGCGGTACCTCAACCCAATACACTACAATACCCCTCCCCCATCAATAATTTTTTGAAAAATTTCCTAAAATGGTAACTCCTGAGTTTATTAGTAAAGTACAGGTTAGGCCACTACCAGCATTTCATATGGATGATGGTTTATGCCCTGGTTGCTCAACCTCTGATTCAGCTCCCTGGCTAATGTACTTGGGAAAGCAGCAGAGGATGGCCAAAGTGTTTGGGACCCTGTACCCACGTGGGAGACCCAGAAGAAGCTCCAAACTCCTAGCTCCTAGCTTGGGATTGGCCAAGCTCCAGCCACTGTAGTCATCCAGGGAGTGAACCAGCAGATGGAAGATGTCTCCTTTGTCTTTCCTTTCAAATAAATAAACCAAAATAAATAAATAAATAAAATGTTGGGGCCTGGCATATTAACATAGGAAGCCAAACTTCCATCTGCAGAGCTCGCATCTCATATGAGCACTGGTTTGTTTTTTAGCTGTTTTATTTCCCATCTAGCTACTGCTGGTGACAGTGGAAGCAGTGGAAGACTGCCCAATGCCTTGGGATCCTGCACCTGCATGGGAAACCCGGAAGAAGCTTCTGGCTCCTGGCTTTTAGACTGGCTCAGCTCCAGTCATTGCAGTCTTTTGGGGAGTGAACCAGCAGATAGAAGATTTCTGTCTTTGCCTGCTTTCTCTCTATATATGATTCTGACTCCCAAGTAACTAAATTTTCAAAAAGAATGTTAACTGGACCTGGTGCAGTAGCCTAGTGGCTAACGCCCTCACCTGGCATGTGTCAGGATCCCATGGGTACCGGTTCTAAGCCTGGGTGCTCTACTTCTTGTCCGGCTCCCTGCTTATGGCCTAAAACGTTGGGATTCTGCATCTATGTGGGAGACCCATAGGAAGCTCCTGGCTCCTGGCTTCAGATTGGCTCAGTTGTGGCCATTTTGGGAGTGAGCCAGTGGACAGAAGATCTTTTTGTCTCTCCTCTCAGTGAATCTGACTTTTCAATAAAAATGAATAATCTTTTTTTTTACATTTTATTTTAATTTTAATATACAGTTCCATATTCCCTTATCCCCTCCCAATTCCTTCCCCCTACCTAGTTCCTCTATATCATTACTAACATATAGTTCTTCATACTCAGTCATATGTCCATCATTGCAGGCATGGACAATGGCAGAGAGTCCAGCAGCCTATTGTCAAGATATAGTAAATAGTTTCATTGTCCGGAAGCAGAAATGCATACTACACTGCATCCTCACATCTGGATGTTAGTCTGCATTTCACAGCTACTGTACATTCCCTTAAATGAAAAGTCATGATACAAAATCAATAATAGAAAGAAAAATAGAAATTTACAATACCATGAAGTTAAATGACATGTTACTAGATATGACAGTCTCCATTTCACAGCTACTATACATTCCCTTAAATGAAGAGCCACAAAACAAAATCAGTATCAGGGAGAAAAAAGAAATTAACAACACCAAAAAGTTAAATAACTTGCTATTAAATGACTAACGTGTAGCTGAAGAAATGAAAATCAAGAACCTTCTTGAAGAAACTGATGCCACTGCATGAGCTACGAGTCACTGAATGATTTAGTCAGAAGAAAGTGTTTTGAAGAGATGAAACCAACAGAGAACAACAAAATCCATGTGATATAGTGGTACTTTGGTCCTGTCATTTTAGGAATGGGTTGTTCATTGTTTTAGTCTCCTGTTGTCATTTTACTGGGATGTTCTTCCCATTTACCTTTGGTTTTGGTAGGCGCTATTCCTCTTCTGACAAGAGAATATCTTGAAGTATCATTTGTAAGGCAGGTTTGAAAGAAGCAAATTCTTTTAACTTTCTTTACTCTGGAAGAATTTTATTTCATTTTCAAAGACGAAAGAAAGCTTTGCGGGGTATGTTATTCTAGGCCGATAATTTTTTTCTTTTAGACTCTGGAATATGTTACTCCATTCTTTTCTGGCCTGTAGAGTTTCCTGTGAGAGATCTTCTGTGAGTTTAATTGGCATTCCCTTATATGTCAATTGATTTTTTTCATGTGCACATTTAAAGATCTTTTCCTTATGTTCAATTGAAGAGAGCTTGATAATCATATGTCGTGGTGAAGACCGCTTTTGATCAAGCCTGTTGGGAGTTCTGTGCCCCTCCTGGATCTTGTTTCCTAATTCTTTCTCCAGATTAGGGAAAATTTCCCTTATTATTTCATTAAATACATTTGCAAACTCGGCTTCTCTTTCTGCACCTTCCGGGACTCCCATAACTCTTATATTTGGCCTCTTACTAGTGTCTTTCAATTCTTGAATACTTTTTCTTGGCCAGATCCAGCTCTACTTCCAGCTTTTTGTTTGCTTCCCCCTGGTGACAGGAAATATCTTCCAATTCTGGGATTCTTTTGCTTGCTTCATTCTATTTTGGAGACTCTCCACTGTACTTTTCATTTGCTCTACTGTGTTCTTAATTTCTGATAAACCAGCCTTGATTTGCTTTCTTGCTTCCTTAAATTCTTTGAACTCTTGCATGAGCTTCTCAGTTTTGATCAGAATCTTTAAAATGAGTCTTATGGATTTTGTGTCCCCTATTTTCTCGATGTCTCCCTCAGTTAACTCTGAGGTTGGCAAAGGGTTTTGCTCCTTTGCAGACGAGTTTTTGGTAATATTCATTGTGCCTTTGTCTCTTCTTTTGCTCTTGATCATTGTACTTCTGGTTAGCAGAGTCTTCTTCTGGCAGGTTTCTAAGCTGTGTCACCCACAGGTCTACAATGCAATTTTACTTACTGCAGTTGGTACACAACTTTTTGCTTGCAGCCAATTGTGCCACAACCTCCAGTGAGTTCCAGGTCTGGGTTCTTATGTCAGATTTCCACCATGGCCTCCACAGCCCCAGCTCCTGGCTCACCACTCTCCACCTCCTATGATACCGTGCTGAGGCTGCTCCGTTGTCTCTGCAACCTTTCTCCCACTTCTGGTTACAGCAGGTCCCAGGATTAGAGAGACACCAGGTAGCCAATATAATTAGGTTGTTGGTGGTGCTGATCTTGTTGGAACTTGTTTGCCATTAGGCCTGGGTGCCACACAGACCTAGTTTGACCTGTATGATGCCACAGTCAGTATTATTTTCTTGTGGGACCGGTGCAATACACGGACCTCAGTGAGTTCTCGTGAGCTCAACACATGCACATTTCACTGTTGTCCCCTGCAATCCCAAAGCTATTGCCTCAGTGCACAAAATGGCGCCTGACATACCACCACTACTGTTATTAATCTGCTGGCCGTCAGATCTGAGGGCTACCCAGACCTGCCCCTGGTGGAACCCATGGAATTCCATGTCGTTGCAGTTCACTGAGTCAGAAATGAGCTCACTCTTGCTTAGCACATACTCAGTCTTTCCCTTGTCCTTTCTTCTTTACGCAAAATGGCGCCCAATTCAGCTCTAGGGGGCTGATGGGGCTATGAAATCCTCCCTGTTCTCACATCGCCTGTCTGGGATCTGCTGCTCTGTCTCTGCTCCTGGTCAAATCAAACAGACCAGCAGGACAGTTCTTTGTCTGGGTTTACCTCCCAAGCTCCCAGTGAAAGTCCCTTCCCACTTGGTTGCTGGTGGAGTTCTGGTTGCTGGTGGAGTTCAGATCACTGTTAGCTGAATGCTGCTGGAGAATCAGTCACTGCAACACCACACTGATGTGCCCGCTGCTTTCCTGTGCCTGTCAGTCTCCAGGAACCCCTCTGCTGTTGTTCTGTCCTTTCCTATTTCCTGGAATGTGTCCTCTGTGCTTCACCCCGATTAAATGTTTTCCGTCTGCTTAAATGTGTCCTTACCCTATTCCGCGATCTTGATTCTCCAAAAATGAATAATCTTTAAAAAAAAAAAGTTAGCTACCATTTTGAATGTATAGATATTTTAAAAGATTTATTTATTTTTATTAGAAAGGCAGATTTACAGAGAGAAAGAGACAGAAAGATCTTCCATCCTCTGGTTCATTCCCCAAGTGGCTGCAATGACTAAAGCTGAGCCAATCCGAGCAAGGAGCCAGGAGCTTCTTCCAGGTCTTCTATGTGGGTACAGGGCCCCAAGATTTTTGGCTGTCCTCAACTGCTTTCCCAGGCCACAAGAAAAGAGATGGATGGGAAGTACAGCAGCCATGACACAATCCAGTGCCCATGTAAGATCCCAATGCTTGCAAGGTAAGGATTTAGCCATTGAGCCACATCATCAGGCCCTGAATATGATTTTTCCCCCATGGGTACACCTATTCCATTAACAAGAATGGAATTCTACCATTAGCAACCAAATTGTCCCAAATAGCAACCATTATGATCAGTAAAATAAGTCAATCCCCAAAGCACAAATATATGTTCTCTGGCAATCTTATATATGCAAAACACAAGATCAATAGCCCTTTCAAATTCAATACTATTTTTTGCTACATCTCATGGGTTTTGATATTTTTAATTTCTTCAAAAAATTTTTTTTTCTTGTTAATTTCTTCACTGACTCATAGGTCATACCACAGTATTGTTTACTTCAAGAAGGTTTTTTATTTTCTTTCTAATTTCTTGGGCGACACATTGATCATTCAGTAGCATGTACAGTAACTTCATGTTGCTGTAAGTCTTCTATTTTTCTTCCTGTTGGTGATTTTGTTTTATGGCTTTTCATTTGAGGGGATGTATAGTAACTGTGTAATAGAGATTATCATACCAGATGTAAAGATACAATGCAGCATGCATCTCTACTTCCAAATCATAGATGGACTCCCAATGAAACTGTTAAATAGATCTTGACAATAGGATGTTGGACTCTCTGCCATTGTCCATTCCTACAATGTCAGGATATACTTAAATAGCAGACTGATGGACTTATGACTCTTTATGAAGGACTGTACTATTGTAATAATATAAGGAAAATCAGAGGGGGTGAAGAGACTCAAGGAGAAGGGAAGGGATATCCCTGAACCTATGGAACTGTATCATAAAATAATAATTAAATTTTAAAAATATTTATTTTATTTTTATTGGAAAGGCATATTTACAGAGAGAAGGAGAGACAGACAGAAAGATTTTCCATCTGCTGGATTACTCCCCAAGTGGCCAAAATGACCAGAATTGAGTTGATGCAAAGTCAAGAGCCAGGAGTCTCCTCCACATCTCCCAGATGGTTGCAGGGTCCCAAAGTATTGGACCATTGTCTACTGCCTTCCCTGCCACAAATAGGGAATAGGATGCGAAGTGGAGCAGCTGGGACACGAACTGGCACCTATATGGGATTCCAGAGGCGTGCAAGGCAAAGATTTAACCACTGAACCATCATGTCAGGCTCAAGAACATAATTTTTAAAAGAAACTTATGCATGTGGAAATTGCATTAAATGGTGAGTTCCTAGGATACCAGTTTTATGCTGATGGCAAATTATTCCCTAATATTTGGGTTCCCCAAACCCTAACAAACTGTGTATTAGCATTAGTAAAAGCTGTAAGGTCCCTCTGATTGAATGTCCATTTTAAGGTCAAACTACAACTTGAAGAGGTCCTTATGAAGCCTATCTGGTCTAGTAAAATTTGTAAAATTGAAAATGTTCCTAAATTTAATGTTCTGAGAAATAACTACTACCACTATCAATATGGACCAAACACTTGTTCACCTGTAGTTGAGACTTTATGATCTTGGTCTGAAGGTTACATCAGCAAGAAGCCAGAATTTAACAGTTTCAGATAAAGCATTAAATAGGATTTCCTCCCTGTTCTCTAACTCACACCATACTCCACACTCCCAACACTTTAGTCTATAATTTACATGGTATTCTTCCTATTACATGAATACCAGCCTTCCCTTGTCTCTGTACTGTAACATCCTTTCAAAGCTGGATGTATAACCCTGGTAGGAAGCTGATACAAGGTTTCACTGATTGGAGCAGGTCATTCTAACATAAACTGAGCAGCTAAGTGCTCACCTTGGGGGTGCCCAGTCATGCCGTGTGCAGTCCAGAAGCGTACCCACGTAGGTCTTGTTCCTCCACGTCACATTCACGACCAACATCCCTGAAAAACATGATGACATTGATATAAGCAAGACAAAATTTGTTGGCCACTGAGAAGAGTATCCTATGTTTGATTTTTTAAATTTTCATCACAAAGTCAGATATACAGAGAGGAGGAGAGACAGAGAAAGATCTTTTTTTTTTCATTTTTTTAAATTATATTTTTGACAATCTTTACATAGCTAATTAGGGTAAAAAGGTTCAAGGGCTATAGGAAAGTGGGTAAGATTATTATTTCCATATTATTTTATTATTTATTATTATTTTATTATTTATTATTTTATTATTTCCATATTATTATTATTAATATTTCCATTATTATTTCCATATTGTTTCCTTCATGTATCTAAGGTAAAAAGGGATATTGAGGGAGAAACCCCACCCAGTTTCCCACCCACCCCAGGTCCTGGATGTGGGGCATGCTCTGAGATCCTTGCTTAAGTGGTTTTGATAGTTCACCAGTTATGAATTGCTGCCAGTCTCGCCACTCCAAGCACTATAGGTCATTGAAGAATCCACTGACTGACATAGTCCATCATAGAGTCTCTGTTTGTCCAGTATTTTGCTGCCAACATATAGCTGAGATGGTTGATTGACCTGTTCTGTCTTGTGTCTTTTCTTGGTTAGGGTTCTGAGTCTGGCATTTCGATTGGGGAGACCCCCAAAGAAACTTTATCTGAGGTGTTCTCAAACCAGATTCTTGTATGTACTAGCAAGTACAGGGCCCGGCACAGTCCATCGCCCCCATCAGCTGGTAGTTGCAATTGCTGGGTTGGTTCTGTTTTCAGCCCCGACTTCCACTGGAACCAATGGGTGTTGCAGTCTAGCCTGGTTCTGCCCAAAACACACTCGGCACTCACATAAACCAGTGGAGCTGTAGCCTAGCTAGAGTGACTCACAATAACCCCCACACATGCTTTAGGCCATCCTTGACTGCTTTCCCAGGCCACAAGCAGGGAGCTGGATGGGAAGTGGGACTGCGGGATTAGAACCAGCGCCCATAAGGGATCCTGGTGAGTTCAAGGTGAGGTCTTTAGCCTAGCCACTAGGCCACACTGCTGGGCCCTCCAAAGGTAACATTTTTATAAAACTGGAGAACAACATCATAACTATGAAATGAACATTGAATCAGTAAAGGTAATAATGTTTCTACCATCTCTTACCTTACCCGGCATTAGCCCCTGGCAGCCTTTCTCCAATTTTGTGATCTCAAGAATGGGATCTAATGCCCGGCGGCGTGGCCTAGCAGCTAAAGTCCTTGCCTTAAACATGCCAGGATCCCATATGGGTGCCGGTTCTAATCCCGGCAGCTCCACTTCCCATCCAGCTCCCTGCTGTGGCCTAGGAAAGCAGTCAAGGATGGCCCAAGGCTTTGGGATCCTGCACCCATGTGGGAGAACCGGAAAGAAGTTCCTGGCTCCTGGCTTCGGAATGACTCCACTCCAGCCGTTGCGCTCACTTGGGGAGTGAATCAATGGACGGAAGATCCTCCTCTCTGTGTCTCCTCCTCTATGTATATCCGTCTTTCCAATAAATAAATAAATCTTAAAAAAAAAAAAAGAATGGGATCTAGATAGGATAATACAATATATGACCTGTTAGGATTGGCTATTTGTCAATCTGTAATTATCAGGAGAATCATTCAATTTAAAGTATGTATCAATAATTCATTCATTTATATTTATGAGCAATATCCTACGGATGTGCCATAGTTTATTTTACCATTCACCTGTTGAAGGTATCTGGGTTGTTTATTATGAATGAACGTACCACATACACTCAGATGTATGCATGTCTTTGTGTAAACATAAGTTTTCATCTCTTTGGGATAGATGCCTCATTGTGCAATTGCTGGGTCCTATTGTTGCCACAAGTTCAGTTTTTAAAAAAATTCTTTTCCAGAGCAGTCATACCCTCCCCCTCCTTTTAAAAAGACTTATTTATTTTTATTACAAAGTCAGATATACAGAGAGGAGGAGAAACAGAAAATAAGATCTTCGTCCGATGATTCACTCCCCAAGTGAGCACAACTGCTGGTGCTGTGCTGATGATGTTGCTTATCTTTTCCTGAACGTATTTGTCTTATGTACAGCCTCCAGTGAAATATCTGTTCATGTCTTTTGTGCATTTTCTGATTTGCTTTTTACTGCTGAGGTTTAAGAGTTCTTTAAATATCACAGATAATAGACCTTTGTTAGGTATTTTCTCATACTTCATCTATATCATCTTAACAGGGTTTGCCGCAGAACATCTAAAATTGAGATGAAATCTAATTAACCAATTTATGATGTTACAGATGATATTTTTGGTGTCAATTTTAAGAATTCTGTGTAGTTAGGGGCCTAGTGCAGTAACCTAGTCCTCACCTTGCATGCACTGGGATCCCACAGGGGCGTCGGTTCGTGTTCTGGTGGCCTTGCTTCCCATCCAGCTCCCTGCTTGTGGCCTGGGAAAGCAGGTGAGGACGGCCCAAAGCCTTGGGATTCTGCACCTGTGTGGGAGAGCCAGAGGAAGCTCCTGGCTCCTGGGTTTAGATCAGCTCATTTCTGGCCATTGTGGCTATTTGGGGAGTGAATCAGCAGACAGGAAATCCTCTTTGTCCCTCTTCCTCTCTGTACATCTGATCTTCCAATAAAAATAAATCTTTTTTTTTATTTCTAAAGAATTTTGTGTAGACCTAGACACTAAAGATTTTTTTTGCATTTTTTGACTGAAAAGGTTTCTGTTTCTGTTTTCTGAAAAGGAGTCTGATCCCATTTTAAGTCAATTTTTATGAGACTTGATGTTCACTTGTTCCAAAGGATTATAGCAAGAATTCAAATGAAGAGCTGCTTCTGCACATTTTTAAAAAGATTTATTTATTTTTATTGCAAAGTCAGGGATATATATACAGAGGAGGAAGGACAGAAAAAAGATCTTCAGTCCAATGATTCATGCCCCAAGAGACCGCAGCAGCCGGTGCTGAGCCGATCCAAAGCCAGGAGCCAGGAACTTTCTACAGGTCTCTCACACAGGTGCAGGGTCCCAAGGTTTTGGGCCGTCCTTGACTGCTTTCCCAGACCACAAGCAGGGAGCTGGATGGGAAGTGGGGCGGCTGGGATTAGAACCGGCGCCCATATGGGATGCTAGCATGTTCAAGGCGAGGACTTTAGCAGCTAGGTCACCGTGCCAGGTCTTGCTTTTGCACATTTGCCCAAATTCAACTGGGTACATTTATGTGAATCTACTTCTCAGCTTTGTTCTACTTCATCATCTATGTGCCTGCCCCATTAGAAAGTTACAATCTTGACTACTATAGCTACATAAAGTCAAATTAACTGAGGGGTCTTGAGTTTTCTCATTTACTCTGCATTTTCAAAACCTCTTTTAGCATTTCAGTCCTTTGTTTTTTCATATAAATTTTAGAATAATCTTGTCTATATGTATAAAATATCACACTGAAATGTTGATAGGAATTCCATTAAGCCGCTATATGAATTTGAGGAAAACTGACATCTTCACTTTGTTGAGTCTTACAATTTGTGAAAAAACTGGGGTTAGGGGTGGGCTTGGTGGGGATAATCAGGAATGCCCTGATTAAGCCATGGCATCTATCAGTGTGCATGAAGACTGGGCCTGTGGTGGGCTGACTGGGCTGAGCTGCAGCATCTATCGGGCTGGAATTGAACAGGCAGCTGCCATCTACCAACCAGTATGTATCTTGACTGGCTGGCACACACAGGAGTCTGAGGTCACCCAAGGTGAGGTTTCTTGGAGGACTCCCCAACTAGATTGCTAAACTCAAACCCCTCAGTATCACAAAGTATGTGGTATGACCTTGGAGTGTGTATATTGGGACTGGGCCCCCTCAGTTGCTGATGCCTGTGCAGTAGACAGCACGTCCAGATGTACATGGAGGACATGACAGCCAGCTCACCTAGGTCAGCAGGGGACATGAAGTGCTCCATCAGAGGATGGAAAACTGAACAAGTTGGACAACTCCCCAGGCCAAGCTTTGCAACATATTCCTGGATCAGCCAATAGAACTTGGAAAAATTTTTCAACCCTGGTGCAACAAACTGACAACATCCCAGAAATATTAAAATCACTTTAGTAACACCCTCAGAACACTTCCTCACACATGTCTCCAAGGTGTCATCAAAAAACCATCCTCTCTATCCCTGGATGCTAATGTAGTTTGACAGCAAGAAATGGTATCCTCCCTGTACCCCTCTTTGGGCACAAGAGAAAAAAAAATTATCCCACCCATCTTCCTCCATACCTTGACCCTACCCACCCTAATCAGATACCCACATGAGCATGCATCATTTTGAACTATGTAAATAATATAAAAAGTAACATTAAATTAAAACATAAAATATAAATGTCAATAGCTATTGTAGAAGACAAACTAATTACATATTTTGTTAATCTAGCTGAACTAATTCATTCTGAGTTTTTAAAATAGATTTATTTAGGGCCAGCACAGTGGCTCAACAGGCTAATCTTCCTCTTGTAAGCACTAGCATTCCATGTGGGTGCCAGTTCTTGTCCTGCCTATTCTTCTGATCCAGCTTCCTATTGCACAGGGAGAGCAGTAGAGGATGATCCAAGTCCTTGGACCCTTGCACCCATGTGGCAGACCCAAAGAAGTTGTGGCTCCTGGCTCTGGATGAGCTCAGCTTCAGATGTTGTGGCCATTTGGGAAGTAAACCAGTGGATACAAGCTCTTTGCTTCTCTCTTTCTGTAGATTTGTCTTTCAAATAAAAATAAGTAAATCTTTAAAAAATCAGATTCATTGGGAATATAGATAATCATAAAATCTGAAAATAAGAACAATTATTTTTTGGAAGACAGAAAAACAGAAAGGAAAAAGATATTCCATCCCCTAGTTCACTCCCCAAATGCCTGCAATAGTTGGGGGCTTGGCCAGGCTGAAGCCCGGGACCAGACACTCCAGTCATGTCTCTTGTGTTGGTGGCAGGGACCTGACTAGTTGGGCCATCATCTGCTGCCTCCCA